GTCCATGTATAGAGTTTAGAGTAACATTACATGTGCTGTTATCTAATATTGGAACAGGAAGTTTGAATAAGCCATGCAATGTAGATCCATTTGTAAGAAGAATTGCTGCTATGCCAGTCCATGCAGCTGTAGCAGATTTGATACCTCTACTGCTGGTTTCAGCAATCAAATAATTATATGTAAACGTTTTTCCACTACCAGCCGGTCCATCCATGTAAAACAATTGAGAATGCTGATTTTCTACACTTGGTTGTTCATTTAATGCAGCAAGAATAGCATTACATACATTTAATTGATTGACATTGAGCAGTGGTCTCATTCTATTGGCTTCATCAATTGATTGTTGAAGATTTTGATTGAAATTTTCTAGATTAACTCAATAACAGGCAGATTATAATCAGCCAGCGTTTTACCACACTGATTAATAATCTTTTCAACTTGACAAAGAGCAGCTTGTTCAGCTATTATAAGCGGGACTGAGCGGTGAATAAATTCCTCAATCATAAATGCTTTGTATGTATTCCAAAAATGCAAAGGATTGTCTGGTTCACAAAAAGTCAAAATAATTGCAAATAACTGTCTAATTTGCTTTGGCATACGTGTTAAAACTGCCTCAGAAAGTGCATTCTGCCATTCAGTGTCATCTTGTAACAAACCATTTAAAACGCATGCTTCACGAAATGTTTCAACAACAATACCATTAACAGTACGCACATCCACCCAAGACTTGGCTCCTTTTGCATGCAAAAGTAACAGCCTAAGAAAAAACAATTCTTCAGTTGGATTAACTTTATACATTCTTACTATCACCTTATTACCACCTCTTTGTCTAACCTTCCATTTACAAAGCTTATCATCAAATATAAAATGATAAGGAATGTCTACATATGAATAGCAATGTGCTCTTTCATTTTCAGAATTTAACTTGAACCATGCTGTAAGGTGTGTATCACGTTGAGCTGCACGATCTAAAGCCATTTGTTCAGCTCCTTCTCTAAAATACACTAATTGATTCTCAGGAAGATGAACTTTAAGGCGGATAATAGTGTGTGACATATGACTTATGGGATACTCAAAAATTCGCCACAATGCTTCAGGTGCACTAACATAACGACAGTCTAAAAAAGTGTTTACTTCATCATGATTAATTTGTTCATTTATCAAAATATTGGCACAGTCGTGACCCTTGTATATGTATTTGTACAAATATTTAACAGCCTTAACAGACATGCAAGCTTCAATATTAATGTTGGCTTGATATTTCTTTGATAACCATGGATTGTAAGGTACCACCCAGCGGTTATCTACATTGTTGCCTTTAATATTGATAACCAAACCATTATCACGACGCCTATAGCGAGGATAACCATTATGAGCTACTACTGTGTTGCCATTAAATTCTTTAGGATAATTTTTGCTGCACACCCCATCTTTCATGCAGGTAGAATTTGGATTCAGTATGCCACATGGGCCATGAATCATGCAAGTTTTAATAACATCATAAAGTTCACGATTTATAATTGGATCTGGAATTTCTGCACATATTAAACTATTGATATCCCGTGCTGTCTCCAGCTTGTCATCAGTGGCAAAGTGAAGTAAAATATGAACATGTGGTAAACCACGCTTTTGAAATTCGATAACATGAACATGGGTTACGACTTTCCCTAATACACCATGCTTAAAAATATCATTTAGAAGATTATTTAATTTGAGTTTAAATACTTGTGTAACTAAATCAGGTCTATCATTTGCAGTTTGACCTGGATATAAATTTTCAGTTATCTCGCGCCATTTTGGGTTGCAGGTAAAAGTAATAAAAAGATCTGGTTTACCATACTTTTTAATTATAGCCATAGCATCTTCAAAGTTTTCTTTTAAAGCTCTAGGACTTCCTACATAAGTAGATGGCAAAACTACAATGCGCCCTGGTCTAACATTATGATCGTTTCCAAGGTTGTCTGCATGTTCATGTAAGGCATCATACTGCTCGCTTCTAATTTTGTTTTGGTTATTTCTGATAAAAGCAATGCGCTGGCCTTCAATTTTGACATATGCATCAACAGCATATTGCTGAAATAGTTTCTTGCCATAAAAGATTGAAGAAAAAATTTGTCTAACCAAAAGTCTATAATTGTAATACTGAGATAATGTAACATGATTTCTAACCAATGTAGCACGTTCAGGGTTGTGAACCAATTGATTATGCCAACCAGCATCACCCCTTGGGAAAAATAGAGGATAAACCATAGGATCTAAGTTGTCAGACATACTTGATATAGTTTTAAGAGGATGACCTCTCGGGTAAATAACAACTTCTCTGGAAGCAGGAGGAGCACCATCTTCACCAACAAATACAACTGCAACTTCATTATGTGAAGGGAGATTATAGCGACGTCTATCTTGCCCTTAAGTAAAGACATTTTTACAACTGAGACTGAGCGACCTTCTATAGCTGCCTGGCGAATTTCTTCATCTTCCACTTCAGCCATGTTTTTAAATGCGAGAGCAAATGGGTTCTCCTCACTAATAACAGTTTGCAACCAAAACATTAAATCATTTAAGCAAAGATCATTACCAGGTTGTCACATTCTAAAATTTATTGCTGCAAGTGGATCATAAATGTATAGTTGACAATATGTTGGAGGAATATCTTGATCTGGCCTAAGATTACCAACACGATGAAAAACCTGACCACATATTCTAAAACATGGCGGCCCATGATTCATGGATTGAACTACATTAGCGGTAAATGAAGCAAAAGAAAGACAGGCATTATAACTTCGAATATATTTTAGAAAATTCACATTGGCATTTCGATCTACATAACTTCCTGTAAATAAATCTTGTAAATCTTGCGGAAATGGTGAAAGTTGAGACAAAACTACCTTTCCATTATGGCAACATAAAAAATGTGTTTCATCAGGAAATTTCTTAGCACCACAATGCTGACAAATATGATTCATTTCTCCTAAATAATTATAATCTGGAATAGTATTACTTCTTGCTATACAATGCATTCTTTCATGTCTACCAGCATATCTAGCATTCTGTTGATTATTAATTTCATCTCGCCTCAGCCTATTTCTTGCATTTCTGCGACGATTATTATCAACTTGCCTAATGACGTTGTCCTCATTTTGATTCAAATTATTTGCGGCTTGCTGAGCAGCATATCTAGCATTCTGTTGATTATTAATTTCATCTCGCCTCAGCCTATTTCTTGCATTTCTGTGACGATTAATTTCAACTTGCCTAATCACATTGTCCTCATTTTGATTCAAATTATTTGCGGCTTGCCGAGCAGCATATCTAGCATTCTGTTGATTATTAATTTCATCTCGCCTCAGCCTATTTTTGGCATTTCTGCGACGATTATTTTCAACTTGCCTATTAACATTTTCATCATTTTCATCCATTTAAATTTTACTTTTAATTGATAATAGTAACAAAAAAAACTTGAATTAATCCAGAAGATTGTGATCTTTTTTTTTTTACTACTCTAAATTGCACATACAAATTATTTTTAAAAAATGACAGGAAATTTTTATTTAAAATAAACTAAATTATACAACAATCTTGTGCATTTTTTATTAAAAAAATTTCATAAATATATCTGGTAAGAGATGTTTAAACAAAAAATTAACTTATAATAAAAATCTAAATAAAAAAATAACGAATAGGATTAAAAAATAATGAATAATAAAATTTGAATAATAAATTTTAATACTAAAAGTGCTGCTTAAACAAAAAAAAGAAAAAAAAATTAAAAAATAAAGTATTTGTAAACCCTTTTTGTAAACTTCAAATTATTTCTATAAAAAAATTGTTTAAAAAATATTAAAATAATTTAACATTAAATTCGAAACAATAAAAAGAAATAAAATCTGGTGAAAATCAACAAATTATAAACTTTAAAATATTAGAAATTTACATGTGGTTTTTTTTACAGTTAATTATCTACTATAGTACATTTTTCTGATTTAACTGATATGATATATATTGGGGACAATTACAGTCATGTTATATTGTGAACCAAAAATTAAAATAATAGTCTAAACAAATACTAAAAAAATAAAAACAAACAAAATCAAAATTATATATTTATTTCTTTGAGAATAAAACACCGAGGAAAAAACAGCAACATTGTAAATATCTTCACTGATTGAAGATATTTAAAATTTTTTCGTTGCTGTTTTTTCCTTGGTGCCTCCCAACACCCCTGTATGGATGAGCTCTCCATTTAAATGAGGGCTCATCCATACCATTATTAAGGCACCATTTGTTAAAGGACCTCTCAGAAAGAGGTCCTGGGTGCTGGGAGCGATAAAGCCTGTAGCTGCTCCAATTTAGATCTAAAAAAATAAAAAAAATAGATATTTGCATTTAAAATAATAATAAGATAAAAGCATAACTCTACCGCAGGGTGTTAGCCAGCCTGATGGCACCGCGTATAACGCGGTATTCCCAATTTGTTTGAATTTCCCAAAACTTTAAATTCAAATTTGTTTAAATTTCCCAAAATTGAATGACCTTTTTTTTTTTTTTTTTTTTTTTTTGGTAATAATAAGACAATTTAATTAAAGTTTCCCTAACACCCTGTACCGGTTGCAGCAGTGCCAGACAATGCTAAAGAAATAGAAGGAAAAAAAAAAAGTAGAATAAAGTAAAAACTGAACATGTTGGTATTTGTGTTTTGAATAAAATTGCGATTTGAAAAAAAACGCATAAAAATATAAAACATAATCCTACCAAGTGTAGTAGTACCAGATGACTAAAGAAATGGAAAAAATAAAATAAAAACCAAACATGTTCATATTTGTATTTTGAATAAAATTGCAATTTGAAAAAAAATGCATAAAAATATAAAACATAATCCTACCAATTGTAGTAGTACCAGATGACGATGCTAAAAAAATGGAAAAAATAAAATAAAAACTGAACATGTCGATATTTGTATTTCGATTAAAAAATAAAGCATAACCTTACCAATTGTAGTTGTACCAGATGTCAGCGCTAAAGAAATAAAAAATAAAATAAAAGTAGGGTAAAATAAGAGTAGGATAAATAAAAACTGAACATGTTAATTTTTGTACTTTAATAAAAATATCAAGCATAACCCTACCAATTGTAGTAGTACTACCAGATGTCAATGCTAAAGAAAGGGAAAATAAAATAAAAGTTAGATAAAGTAAAAACTGAACATCTTAATATTTGCATTTTTATAAAAATATAAAGCATAACCCAACCAGTTGTAGTAGTATCAGATGGTGAGGCTAAAGAAATGGAGGAGAAAAAAAAATTAGAACAAAATAAAAACCAAACAGGTTGATATTTGTATTTTAATCTAAATATAAAGCATACCCTTACCAATTGTAGTAGTACCAGATGTCACTGCTAAAAAATAGAAAATAAAATAAAAGTAGGGTAAAATAAAAACTGAACATGTTAATCTTTGTACTTAAATAAAATTATCAAGCATAACCCTACCAGTTGCAGTCATATCAGATGATGATGCTAAAAAAAATGAAAAAAATATAAACTAAACATGTTGATACTAAAGTATAACCCTACATGTTGAAGTAGTACCAGAGAACGATGCTGAAAAAAAGGGGGAAAAAAGAAGAAGAGTAGAATAGAAAAAAAAAAAACAACAACAAAAAAAAACAAATGTAATATTTGTATTTTAATAATCTACAATATAATTGCAAAAAAATAAAAAGCATAACACTACCAGTTGTCACAGAGTTAGACACTAATAATAACACTTAAAAAAAAAATTAATGTTAAAAATTATAAAACATATAATAGTTAATAATAAAAGGTATGTATGTATCTAAATATAATTGTTATCTGTTTTCCTCATTTCTTCCATAAAATCATCTAAAACAAAATAAAACTTGAAAATTTTATAAAAAAGACATCAAAAAAAATCAATCAAATCAGTAATTTGAAAAAATATCTTTAAAATAGGATAAATTAACAATGTTGAGTTAAATTTAAGGCTATATCACTACTCTGTGTGTGTGTGTGTGTGTGTGTGTGTGTGTGTGTGTATATATATGTATATATATATATATACATATATATATATATATATATATATATATATATATATATATATATATATATATATATATATATATATATATATATATATATATATATATATATATATATATATATATATATATATAAATTATCAATTGGTAAAATTATAAAATAATTTATACCTAGTCTAAGTTTCAATTTTCCTATTAAGTAAAAAGCAAGTTAAAAGTAAACAGTACAAATTATTAAATCCTAATAACAAATATTTAATGACAAAAATACTGACTGTATTTCTTTAGTGCTTTGTCTAAACAATAAATTTAAATACACTTTTATTAAAATCTTTTAAAGACATATTAAAAAAATTCAATAATTTTAAAAACAAAATTAATTGCTAATTGGCTAACTAACGATTATACCTTTATCAGGTCGCTTATGATAAACTAAACAAATTATATATACAATTAACATCTTGTTTTAGACAGAAGTTATCATTAACATATATATTTAGTTCTACTAAAATAGTTACAAAATTTAAAACTTACTTTCATCTTCCTCATCATTGTCAACTAAATGAAAATTCAACTCCAAAGATACTCTACTATATACTACTAATATTTAAAATTCTACATAAATATTTAAAAAATCAACACTTACCTTCAGTTTTATCTCCGTGGTTAACTAAATAGAATTTACAATAATAATAATATAAATCAAAATATAAATGAAAAAATAATAAATTATAGTAAACCAAAAAAAACAAAAAATCAAAGTTACACATTAAATAAACAGAAAAAAAAAATCTATATACTTGATAATGTACTTAAAATGTAACTTAAATTATTATTATTATTATGATTATTAATAAGTCTTATTTATCTTTTAAATCGTTCAAATAGTTTTCACATAGTTTAAATTTTTCCTTACAATAAGACTCCTTTGATGTTAAACAAATAAAATGTTTTGAAAAAGAATAAAATAAAAACTTTACCGTTCATTTTTCTATTTTGCTAATCTATAATCTACAATATAATTAAATTAATAAAATTAAATATAACTTATAAAGTAAAAATAAGATTTTTACTTTACAACTCTTCTTTTTATAACAACATAACAACGTTCTAAAATAAAAAATTGCAAAATTCAACTTAAGTAAACATGTAAATTGAAACTATATAAAAATGATTTCCCTAAAAAGTTAAGAGAAGTTCGTCAGGTCTGGCTCGGTAGACCTTTTGGGTGGAACGCATGTACTTAAAAAACGCGCTCTAAAAAAAGCCTAGAATCTACTTGAACGATGACGTAACGCGACATTGAACATTGAACATTGAATTTTTACAGTATTCATATTTAGAGATTAGTATATTGAACACAAACTTTTAGTATATAAAAAACACAAAAAAAATGATTTAGTTTTTTTTACACGCAAATATTTGTTTTAAGCACTGGCATTACTGCAATGAATTTACTGCAGTAAATTCGGATAGTGCTTTTTAGATTAGGAATCAAGACAATTAGTTACGATTGCAATATTTTGTTAGCTTTTTTGCAATTTTGATTAGCCTACTAACAATTGTGAGCCTATTGTGAGCCTATTTTTATTGAAAAAACCCCGTGTTATTCAATGCAATTTTTTATGACTTTTTATTGCATAACCAAAAAAATCTTTTTGTGTGGTAAAGTAAGTGCTTAATTTGTTTGTTTTTAAAAACTTTTACTGCTTTGATCAAAATTACTGAGTTACAATGCTAAATGATCAAGAATTTAATTATTAATATTATTTTTATTAATGATATTTTTAATTGTTAGAAGTATGATAAAAAATGCACATTTGGCAGCAAACCATACTAGAATTAAATTATTTTCGCATGTCCTGTAAAATATATTAGTTTGAATTTACAAGGTTTTGATCATAGGTTGACAATAAATTGAAATTAGATTTAAGAAAAAATTTCCACCCACCCTTTTATAAACCCCCTCTCCTCACCTCCTATTTATTAGGTGTTGGCTAAAATTCCCTCACACACCTTTTTTTATTCCCACCCCTATTTGTATTAATTGTGAGAGAGTAATTATTTAAATTTTTAAAATTGCTTTTAGCTTAATTATGTTCTTAATTTTGACTTATGATTAAAAAAATATTTTTCTGTAAAAAGGAAACTTCTACTTATATTTGTAAAGATGTTTTAAATAAATATTTTTTAAATATGTTTTAAATATTTTTTCTCAGCAACATTTAGATGCAGCTGTCAGCACAAAAGCGTCAACTTTACCAGGAATTAGTTTTCCAATTAGTGAGGCAGCTATAGAAGAACTTGTTCGAATTGCCAAAAAAGAAATTTCTTACGTACAGCTGGTATAAACAGAGTTTGCATTTTTCAAAAAAATTTTCAAATTTTCTAAACTTAGTTTTTAAACATATTTTATATTTATTCTTTAATTTTATTTGTTTTTATTTTAAAATAATATTATTTTATTAAGTTAGCTTTGATTTTATACTAAAGTTCCAAAAAGATATGTTTTTTTAAAATACTAATCTTAATTTATACTTTAGTTGCATAAATTAAATATTTAGTTGCATAAATTAATTATTTTTCTTTAATATATTTAACAAACTACTTGCTATCTGTAAGAAGTCAAGTTTATATGCAGGTTTAAAATATCCCTTAAAACTTTTAAAAAGTCATTGTAATAAAATTGACTTTTAAACTTGTCATATAGTAGTAACGATTTGAAATTGTTATTAGTTAAACAAGTTAGTTTTTTTTTAAGTTTAAATAAACTGTAATGAGTTAAATAATCAAGATAATTAGGAAAAAAAATCATTTATTTTTCTGATAAAATTGTTTTATATATAAAAGAACATTTTATGTTTAACAATATTATCAGAAAACTGGTTTTTCTTCAGGTTAAAAACTGAATAAAACCAGTAAGTGAATATTACAATAAAACATAATATTACATTATTATTAGTAGTATTAGTATTAAGTGTGTTAGTATTAGTAGTATTAAGTGTTATTAACATTGATATTATTACTATTTAAGTGCTATTTGGGTTTTAAAATTTTCCTTATATTTAAAAAGTTCATTATGTTTTAGTCAATTGATGTCGAAAATGAAATCATTAACCTTGAAAAAGCGTATGATATAGAAACACGTGGATTAGCAAGAGAAATTCCAAATGATCATCCAAGATACCATTTTTTTTTGTTCAAGCATACACATGAAGGAGATTACTTAGAGACAATAGGTATGCATTTTGTACATTCTGTAACATCTAATTAAAAAGTGGTAATGTTTAAATGTAAAAAAAAAAAATTTGCCAATAAAAAGTTTTGTAGCAGCCATTGTTTCTATTTCAAACATTGTCTTATTATTTGTAACAGGAAAAATGTCATCAATTATTTAATGTGTAATATGTAATGGTCAATCACATGAAAAATATATAGAAATGCACTGGAAAAACAAACAAGTTTGAGAAATTGCTCATATTGTCATATTTCCAGTTGCAGATAAATTGCCAATCAACTGACAATTTTGACTTTCTTCCAGCCTTTTGATTTTCTGGAAATTAAATATGAAAAAATGTTTATTGTCTGATAAAAATTATTTACACAAACAAAAGCATGATACCTTTAATTAATAGTTCTTGTTTAACAAATTTTATACAATGATAATTCATAGCAAAAATATCTTGATTAAAAAATGTTCTTATTACTAAACTAACATTACTGATAAAACTTTGAAAAGACTTTAGTGCTTAATATTTTGCTTGGCATGATTATTTTATTGTGAGATTATATTCACACAATGTAACTTTTGTTAGTAATATTATATTTACACGATGTAACTTTTGTTAGTAATATTAAATTCCTCAAAAAAACTCCTTTTAGAGATTGATGCTACATACCCATAGGACTACACAAAGAATGAAAATCAAGCTAATAAATACAAATAAGATATTTGAGATATTTGCATAAAACAGTAGAAAACTCTTTACCCTTTAACTTTTACCCTTAAACCAACTAAAATAGCAGCCATTTAACATTTTTTTGTGGTTTTTTGTGGTCTGCCATTAATATAGCATAAACTGGAGCTAAATTTAGATTTTGACTTTTTATGGTGTAGGGATAAAATATTCATTTTTAAAATTTAAAGACAGTGAAGAAATAGTACAAAGTATAAGTTATGATTAAAAAAATATTTTTCTGAAATATTTTATTTTATTCTGCCAAAAATTTCTAAAGGCACTCTTACATCTTTGAAATTTGTTTTTAAAAGTTTGTGCATTATCCATTTTTTTTTTTGCAGTATTAGGCATTTTTTCAATAACTACTAAATTGAAAACATGCAATTTCATTCTGAAAAATTTGTTTTATATTTGGTAAATGGTATTTCCATATTATAAATCACAACTAAGAACTCCTGTTAAAGAGCCCCAGTGTAACTGTTGAAAGTTTACAAAATCATGTATTTGGTTTCTTTAACTGCAACAGGTAGTTGCAGTTAAAGAATAAATAAAATATCATTTTAAACTAATTATTTTAAATAAAATGTAAGAAAATATCGATTTAATTTTATAAATTTTAAATGTTTTAGGCAAAAAAATAGAAATATCCTCCTCAATATTTAGTAATAAACACTAGAAGGCATTCTCTAGAGGATGAACATTAATTGCAAAAGCAACATATTGTGTATTAATAGCTATGTATATACACAATGGTGTAAAAATCTATATTAAGTTGGTCGCCAGGGCCACTGAAAGTAATCATTTTGCTAATCTTGGTTGTCTGTTGAAATTTAGAATTGCCCCCCTTCACCATTTTTTTTTAAAAGATCTTTTTATTTCAAAAAAGAATATTTATATTTTAAAAATTATATTTGAGTTGATATTTTAAAATAATTTACATTAGCTATCAAAAGTTTCTTTTAATCCAATAATTTTGTTTATTACATCAAATGGTGCATATTGCTATGTATGAAATGAGAAAAAGAAAAACATTATTTTCAACACTTATTTTTCAATTTTTTTTTTTTTTCACCTCCCTAAGGCTGAGAGGGTCACTACAATCGAAGAAGCTACTTTGTTGTGGTTACATCCCTCTCTCAACTCTTTGACTCTGAAACACATATCTTAATGAACAAGGCCGTTGCGCGGAGAAACATGTTGAGTGCAGTACTACTAGGGATGTGGTAACAATCGAACTCTAAACTTGTTGCTTATGAAGGGAGGACTCTACCACTACACTACTACCCCATTGATACTAATAAAAAACAACATAATTCTTAATCATTTTTTTTTAGTACATAATACCATTTCTACAATAAAAGTACTTTTTTATTACTAAAATTAGTACTTAAAAGTACTTTTTTAGTGCTTTTTCATTAATTTAATAAATTGCAATAGTTAATGTTTATAAATGTGAAAAGACAAAATAAAAATCATTTCATGATGTTTCATATACAAATACACTTATGCTTTACACATTTTATATTCAAATAATGATACATCAACTAAGTGTTTTTGAGATAAAAATAATAAAATAAATATAATTTCCTTTTTTTTTATTTATTATAAATTTAAGTTATATTTAATATACATAAACAATAAAAAAACAATTTAATGGTTATTTATTTCACTGAAAAGAAAATAAGCAAAATTAACATATTATAATTACTTTCCAGTTTTCATTTATTCAATGCCGGGTTACAGTTGCTCTGTAAAAGAAAGAATGTTGTATTCATCATGTAAAGCAACCCTCTTGTCTGGCTGTGAAGACATATTAAAAATGGAAATTGGGAAAAAAGTAAGTTATGTTTGTATATACATACATACATACATGCATACATTCATACATACATATATACATACATAATACATGCATACATACATAAATACATACATACATACATACATACATACATACATACATACATACATACATACATACATACATACATACATACATAAATTTTGCCAGTTCCGTGGGTATTGAGATAACTAATAATTTTTCTACATCATTTTTTGGCACAACTATAGAGAGGGAGTTTGAATTAGCAGCATTGAAGTCAGGTAAATGTTTGCCATCAATTTGAGCTACAAGATGTATCGTAAAATTATATCTTTGATGATATTACTAATTGGACTGCCTTACTACTTTTCTGGTTTCATAAGAAAACACTTTGACAGGATATATTTTTGTCTTTCTCAATCTCTAATCAATTTCTATTTCTCAATTGGCTTCTTGCAACTTAAGGTTAGCTAAGGTTAGGCTAGACTTGAAGAGTTTTTTTAATTCATTTTTTTGTAGTCCACAAGCTGAAATCAGACATTTTGCATTCATTCTAAGAAATCATTGCAAAAAACAGCTACAACTAGTATTACTAATTGTAAAAAATTTATTAATTGAACTTTTGGCATTCAAATGATAAAATGAAATTTTGAAATTTTAGTCTCATTTTTAATTTAAAGTATTTATGTTTTTTAAGTTTTTATCAAAATTATAATAGTTAAATTTTGTTAAATTTTAAGAAATAAAATAAAGTTAAATGACAAACATTAAGTAATAAAATTAATGCTTAAAATGACATTATAACTATAGCATGTGGCTATTATAGTTAAAAATAAAAGGCTAAGGTCGTCTGCGACGCGTGTTGTATGTGTGTTGTTCTTAGTTTCATTGTATGATCTTGTATCATTTTTTATTAGTACATTTTATTTTTAACAATATCAAGAAAATGTATTATTTTTCTGTTATTATTAAAGATATCTTTTGTAAAGTGTAATAGTGCACTGCAGAATTTCTGGTAATATATTTATATTACACATGGGTAATTAGATTTTATTATAGAGTAATATGTATAAATGGTAAATAATGGGAATAAATATACTTGGTAGCGTTATCAAGTTTAGGATCTAAACTCCCTCGATGTATTGTTTTGAAAAATTAATAATAGAGTTATATCCATAAAAGAAATTTTTTATTTAATTGATTATTACGAGTATTTACGCTTGAAGCAATATATTACAAGTATAATAGCTCTTGCAATGTCTTTGTTTATATTTATAAGTTTTATTTTGCAAAAAATAATAGTTAAGAAAAATAATATTTTATTATAGTTACATCGCTTTATATAATTAACAGATTATGTGATATCAAAAAAGTGAAAACAGAAATTTCTTTATAATTAAAAAATTTTGATTGAAAAAGTTATTTAAATTTCTTTTAAATATGTTATAACACTGGATCAAAAATATTTATAAAGTGTACATTTAACTTTTTTTGTCGTTGGGCATATGAAAGCGCATTGGTTTATATTTTTTAGTTAATGAAACTTAGAAACTTAAATCTTTGTGTTTCCCCAAAAAAAAATTTTTTTACTTATAAAGTAATTAGCTTTTTCTTATTTGCAACAATTTTTTTTGTTGGTTAATATTATTATTTTTGTTTAACTTTTTAAAAGTCAAAAATTATTATTTGCAAAGCCGCAATTTTAAGAAATAATGGAAAAAAAAAAAATTTAACATTATAAATTATTTATACAAATGTAGAGAATACAAAGATATTAATTTAAATACAGGCCTGGTGAAAGGTGGGTACAAAGGGTGATTTTCACCCAGGTGCCAAGATTTCAAAGGTACCAATTTTTCATTGAATACTTATTTTTTTTCCCGAGAATAATTATATATTATATATATTATAATTATATATAAATTTTTTTATAGTTATATATTATAATTATATATATATATATATATATATATCTTATAATAAAAACTATAATAACTCAAATAAAACCTTTTAAATTTTCTTAAATTTATTTTGCATATGTTAGTGTACAATTTAAAAAAAATGTTTTGGTTAATTAAGAATAAATCATCCATGTGCATTTTATCACTTGTATGTCAAGTGTCTTGAGGTTTCTAAAAATCCAAAACTTGCAATTTTTGGTATTTAACACTTTTAGATCAGAGATCATGTGAAAATCCCCATTAAAATAAAACAAAATATTTAAAAAGGACCACCTTAATGTAATATATCAAAATATACATTTTTATAAATTGCAACTTAAATATTTTATAATAGCTCTAAAGTATTGAAAATAATTCATACCTGGATGTGTGTATATATATATATATATATATATATATATATATATATATATATATATATATATATATATATATATATATATATATATATATATTATATATATATATATATATATATATATATATATATATATATATTTATTGCTTTGTGATATTTCTTTTTTTGTGTGTTTTTGTGTTCAGGTATCTATTTATAGTCTTAAATTTTTACTTTTTATTACAAAGGTTCACCTAAGAATACATGTATTTTAATCATCGGCAGAAACTAATGCATATTTCTATTAAATACACAATAAATCTTTTATAGTGTTTTTAATGTAGGTAGATCTGGTATACAATTTACATTGGATGTCTTAGATGCTATTTACCCTTCAATTGTACAGAAATATTTAGAACGATTTTTTTTTTACAATTATGTCAATCCAATCTCTTGCTTACGAGTAAGACATTAATATTGAAAGAAATGACCTAATAACCAATCAGTTAACATTTTAGATGTTAAATCTTTTCTATATGTTAACCCTTTGTAAGACTTTCTAATCACCCCTGCTTTTTTAGCTGAAGTTATTCCTTGTTTAGATTCTTTTTAAGCCTGTGATTTAGACAACATTCCTGTTATTGTCTAGCAAAGATATTCCTTGATATATTTAACTAATGTTCCATTAATCTATTTAATCTATTCAACTAATGTTCTATTGGTCTACTTGATCCATTCAACTGTTCTATTGGTCTACTTACTATAGTCTTATAGTTTGCAAAAATCTTTTAGTTTATAATTAAGTCTTTAGTAATTTACTGAAAGTAAATACTTATTAATATTTTTTGGTTCTACTGCTGATTTGTTAACAGTTTAATTCAAGAGATTTGTTATTATATATTTTTGGTGTTACGAGTGTTTGTACCAGTCTACTTTGTAAGCAATTCTTTATATTTTTTTATATCTAACTTTCTTTATTTTTGTGGCTACAGATATCTTATCCTAAAAAGATACCTTGCTTCACTTGCTAAAATTTCTTATAATCAAAAAACTTGGTACTATGGTAATCTGTTTCAAATAACTAAAATAATGTTGGGTAACATTTGTTTATTGCAGGGTTTTTTTTCTAAAAAAAAATTTTTTACATGATAAATACATCAGTTTTTTGCAAATTCTACATGTTTATTTGTGACATTATGAAATTTATGATTTTTCATGCATTATTATATATTTTTTTATTTATTTTTTGGTCAATTGAAAGATTTGGAGATTGAAATGAGCTGTCAAATTTGAGGTGAATTTTGTTGTGACATATTGACATATTTCTTTAGCTTGAAATCTCAGAAGGTTCAGAACTTACAGAAGATTTTCTTCAAGAGGAACTGCATCCGCAAAAAAATGTGCATAAGCAGAAATTCGCAAAACCAAAACCACCAGCTGCAAAAGGCGGTAGAAGAATAAATAATGCAAGCAATCTGTCTGATGAATAGGCTATATACTAATTGTTTTGGTAATTTTATAGATTCAATCTCTTCCAGTTAACATGTTACCCAAATCTATTTATATAGTTTTTTACTGTTGTAACCATATTGTATAAAACGGTACCCCGAGTTTTAGTATAAATACTGCTGCATTAGATTTATATATAATATACTGTAACCATATTATATAAAATATATTTATGTAGTGATTTAATGTCGACAATAATATTATGGTACTATTAAGTGGTTACGGGTTCGATAAAAAAATGTCTTCATAGTATTCATTTTTTTTTTTTTTTTTTTTTTCGTGCTTCTACATTAAAACTTTTCTTTTTTTATTGCATAATAACTTTTTAAAAATGTCAATCATTATTCCTTCATGTTTTTAAACACTTGTTATATTTTGTTGTTATTGTTGTATATTTTCATTTCAATGTGACAGTTGTTGTATATTTTAACTTGTATAATAAAACAATTTTTTGATTAAATAATATTAGCTTTCTAAATTGTGTGAATTTGTTTAATATATTTTATATATTTTTCTATCACAAATAGTCTTGTCTTTTTTCTTTTTTTGTGAATTAGGTTACATTAAAATAGTGTTAAAAAGGCTACTTGTTGCTATGACTTTAATTTCATATATTTTATTTAAAATATGATGGTGGTTTAAATTTTTTTAAATATAATACACATAAATTGTGCAGCAATAAACCTATTATATAGCGGAGATAATATGTGGAAATGT